ATGGGAAATCGATCACAACAAGGTTAAGGTCTCCTTTGATGTTGTTAATTTGTACCCTTCGGTCCCGATTAAAGAAGCAATCATTATACTAGTTGAAAGATTAAGAAACAACCAGAGCTTTATATCTAAATTATCTTTTGAAGAAATCAGGCTACTTTTAAAAGTTTGCCTTTCTCATTGCTATTTTTTATATGAAAATGATATTCATGAGCTTGAAACTCCGGACCAATTGGGTTAGCTCTTATGGTGGTAGTTGCTGAGTGTTTTTTACAATATCATGAAAGTAATGCTCTTTCATTGGTGCTTAACAACAACATCCATGTGAAATCATTTAAAAGATATGTCAATGATATTCATTCAAGGTTCCAAGTAGAAGAAGATGTGCAAAAGTTTTTAGATCTACTTAACAAACAACACAAAAATATTCAATACACAATAGAATCTGCTGACTTAACCAATACCTTAAACTATCTTGATGTTTCAGTTACCAACAATAAAACCGGTACATATAGTTTTAAAATACATCGCAAAAATGCAATCACAAACGTTCAAATTAAACCGAACTCGTGCCATGACCCTAAATTTATCAATGATGTCTTTATTGGTTTCGTTCATAGAGCATTACGTTTATGCACAATAAATAACATTGATGATGAGTTGTCATTTCTTATCGATGTATTTGTAGAAAACGGCTATGAGAAGAAAAGTCTGGAAAAACTAGTTAAGTTTACGAAAAAAAGTCTTAACAACAACAACAAAAAAAAAGATCTCTCGATCTTTTTTTTTGTTGTTGTTGTTAAGACTTTTGAAGATTGTTGTTAAGACTTTTGAAGAAATCAACATTTCCTAAAGTCTTCAAAAAGAATTGTGTCTTTACCCTGGATCCCTGGAATCAGTACTAAGTTAAGAAGAGCATTTAAAAAAGCAGGATACGCACCAGTGTTTAAGTCTCCAAAAAATCTCCAAAGTCTACTAAGTTCCAAAAATAAACCTACACTACCAGTTAATTCCTTTCCCGGTGTTTACAAATTAAAGTGCTCTTGTGGCAAATGTTATGTTGGTAAAACTGGGCTAAAGATATCGTCTCGGATATGCCAGCATCAAACAAGTGCACAACAAGGTAAAGGGGAAAATTCAGCTGTAGCTGAACATTCCAAAATTTGCCAAGGAAAATTCAACTGGAATGGCCGCAATACGTTAAAAATCGAAACAAATAGTTTTAATAGGAAAGTTAGGGAAGCCTTGGAAATACAACTCAACGAAAGTACCTTTCGCGACAATGGTCTTAATCGAGATGATGGCGATTATGTGACGACGTCATTTTGGAAACCCATGTTTAAATTCTTAAGTCACAAAAAACTCACTAAAATAACTCTTAAAAAGAAGCTCTTAAAAAGAACATTGTTTCGTTAATTTAAACAGTTTTTATATAATATTGCGGTTTTGTTTTTTTTAACGGTTTTTATATACTTGATAACGAGGGTATCCATATTCCCTCGAAATATCAAAAAAAATATATATATATATAATTTTTACAAATAGAAATCAATCCATAAAAAGAAGTTTTATTTTAAAATATTTATACAAATAAAATATATTGAAGATGTCAACATTTGTCAACATAAAATATATATATATATTTATTTATTTATATCCCTTTGTCCAGTGTAGGCAGCCGCTGCGGGGCATAGGTAAAGGCGTTTGGAAATGCTAGCTAGCAAGAAATCAATCTTTTTTTAATTAGTTAAAAAAAAAAGTAAGAAGCCAATTTAAAATGAATTTCTAATCTAAATGTTGTTGCGTCCTTGCCTAAATTGACAATGTTTTTTTCAAAAACAATCTGATGCATTATCAGAAGAGGCGTGGATGATTTGGATTCCATTGTGTACACTGTAAAAAATGTCACGCCAAATTCTTAAATGTCCCATCAAAATGTTTAAATTTCACGCCACTTTTAAATCTTTATAAAGATATGTTTTAAGTCGCGCGACTTTTTACAGTTTACAAGTAATTTAAATGTCACGGAGAGTAAAACTGGTTAAATGTCACGCCACACAGTGGGTCAGATATCGAAAAAGCTGGTCAAAATAAGAAAACGTTGAATGATTTGCCTGAAATTTAATGGCAAATGTTTTTTGAGGTTACTGATTAAAAAAAAAATAAAAAAAAAATGGCGGATCCAATAGGGCGAATATATATGTTAAAAAATTGTTTAAATTGTTTATAAATGGGTTTTAAAGGTTCTTTCAGACCACAAATTAAAAATTTGACAAAAAAAAGTTTAAAAAAATTTAAAAACAAAATGGTGGATCCAATGTGTCCGTAAATGCTAAAAAATGGATCAAATGATGGAAGATAGTGTTAAATATAGAAAAAACATTTTGTTTCAGTTATAATCATTTTGGTTCTTTTTCATCTTGATCTGTCTCTTTGTTGAAATCTTCATTATATTAAATTTTTTTTTCATCGGCATCTGCGTCAGAGTCTTCATAATCTTTTGTTACAGGAACCAAGAGGGCAACAGCCTCTGGCAACAAAGTCTTCAATTTTTTTGGTGTTGATTTTCGCAGAGATGAAATGTAGGGGTCTGTCGTTGCCAACAATCTCCTGAACACGTCTTCCATAGTCTTAACTCTTGAAAACTTTTAAGAAAAACCCAAACGATACTGCTTTATTAACTTATTGGTTGATTCTTGAGCATCCTCGGACAGTTGACCAATGGGTAAAATGGCCGAAGAAATGATATCTGGACCGTGGATCAGCAATCTATGTACTGATGTTGGCATGTTGTACCAGGGATATTCTTTGATGTAGTGTCTTGCAGTTGCTAAGACGTAACCTCGAAACTTTTCAACGTCAATTTCATGTCCACTCGAAATTGTTTGCAAAGTTATATGAAAACGGTGAATTAATTCTTCGGAAACACCAGTTATCAAGGATGACGTTTGAGTGTTTTTAAAGAAACGTCGAGCGGTGTTTCCGTCGTTCGTGCTGCACAACCCTTGCTTTGGCATGTCAACTAAAATTCCAAGTTGCTGTTTGAAAACTTTTTGGATGCTAGCTTTCATTGTTGCTTTTTCCTACTTATCTTCTTCTTTACGCGCTTGCCATTTTTTCGCATTTTTTTTTTGTATCCCAAATGAATACAGCATTCAAAACATCGAATCCTGGCGTGTAGAGTTGACAGTCCGTACTGTAGATAATCAGTGGTTACCGGTCTTTTCAAAACTTCATCAATGTTATTAAATTGCTTGGAAGTTGCCTGGCATAGATAACACCGTTGCGCAAATTTTGTGTTGGTGATAGCATTGCATACTTTACCATCTAACATGGTCATACTTAAACTGTATTGAATAAAAACATTTTTTATATGAATGGTTGTTTTTAATGGTTGGAGTTGTTCGATTTGTTTGTCAAAATGCGTTTTCTCATTTATAAAAGTTTCCTCGGTTTTCTTTGTAAATTGCAATTTTAGAGGTCTGCAAAAGAGGGTTGAAGATGGCTTCGGTTTACTCCATAAGTGATTTTCTTCTTTTGTTTCTTGATTTACACCTACAAGTTGCAATGGAACAAGCGAAGTAAAAAGTAAACTTGCATCTGATATATTCGGATCTTTAAAAGTCATTTTATAAATGCTTTGTCCGGATGTTCCGTCAAAGCCTTACAATTCAAAGTCATATTCAATATTTCTGAATCACTCTTATATGTAATATTGTCTTGGTTCAGCAGTAAAATACGTTAAACGGTGTGGTCTAATAAAACTTACGTATTTCTATAGTTCTCCTTCTTTTGGACCTATCAGATAAAGTTTCGAAACTTCCGGTGGGTCGACCCGTTGATGCATTTACAATTGCACGTTTTGCATCAATCTGAAAATATACTGAAGTTTTTAACCAGTTTTCGTTCTTTTTGAAAAAGTAATCTTGTCGTTGAGCTGCTTCCTTATATTTCTTTCTAAACTTTGTCATTAAAACAGAAATAGTAGGTCTCATGTTGTCACGAATTGAATTAACATATCCAATCTTTTCAGTCAATGACTTTTCCAAATGTTCTACGATCACTTGCAAATCGTTTGAAAAATATTCTTTTGTTATAATAAAGACCTCTTTCCTCGAAAGTCCATATACGGCAACCGGTGGATCTGATAAACCTAAATTTAAAAAATCTATGTATACTTATTTAAAATGTATTTACTCAATATTTAGTTAAGTTTTTAACTTTTTATTTTAATAAAATATATAACTGTATTTATACCATCATTTAAATGAATTCCATCCATTTCCAAATCGTTTGCTTTGTAACAAGCCCGTAAACTCGAAAGTCCGCAAAAGGGTGACCAAATTTTTAACTAAATTATTTATTTTGATATTCTAATTTTAATAAAAATCTATAATGTATTATCCAGTAATTTAAATGAATTCCATACTGTAAAAAGTTAATGACTTAAAGATTTAAATTACTGTATAAATTACATACAAACTACTGTATTGATACATTTATAATTACTGTATAAATAAATATAAACTACTATATAAATACTTTCAATACAATACAAATACAACTTTTATTTTAGTTATCAATTTATGCATTATTTATATATTTATTTATTAACATAAATAAATACATAATTTATTAAATACTTAAAAGCGCTAAAAAACATATGTACAATGTTTGTATTTATATTTAATTTTTTCTTAATTTAATTATGAAGTTAATAACTTTTTAATAAAAAAATATTTTTTAATATTAAAAAATCTTATTAAAAAAATTACCAATTATTCAGTTTAAAATGTGAAACAAGAAAAAAAAAATTAATTGATTGGAAAATGGTAACTACTGTGTGGCAGTGTGTGTAGCGATCACTGTCCTTTTCTAAGTTATTCATCTCACTGTGTAGGAGAAAGCGTTGTTCCCATTCTTTTTTTACTTTTAATCTTCTTTATAATGCTTCTAGACATCGATTATAATTAAAATTATACAAAGGTAGCTCATAATTAAATAATTTTACTTTCATTTTTTAAGATGTCTCAATAACGGCATTTTGCAACTGTCATATAAAACATAGCTTAAAAGTGGAGTTGGTACTAGTAGGTGAATTTGAATGTTAAATTACAAAAAAAATATTGCATACGTACAAACACAATGCAAATGAAAGTGGAATATTGTGGAATTCGTAACTTATCTCTATTTTTAAACCAAGTTATAAAAAAGTTATATAAAATATTTTTCTGTATTAAGTTAATTTAAAAAAAAAAACTTTATAATTAATGACTTATTAATAATATTTTTGTTTTTTAATTAGTACATACCTTGTGAAACAAATTCCATATTGGAAATGTTTGTTTCACGTGCACACAACAAAAATATTTATTTTTGAAAAAAAGACGATTTCTTAGCGTACGTACGCAAATACGACAGACAAAGGACTGCCGCGTTCGATCTGCAATATAGCGCACGAAATGAACAGCTGATCTTCTGGATACCTGGCATTAAGTAGTCCCAACATCGCTAAAGCCAACCTGATAGTCCAAAAATGCCGTATCGAAAATTTTTTTTTTTTCTTTTTGACCAGCTTTTTTGAGATCTGACCCACTGTGCGCCATCAGAATATTATTTTCTCTCATGTCAAGTCAAGTTTCTCTTGGTTTAAGCAAACCCTATTTAAAAAACTTAAACAAAATGAAAGAAACTTGGCCAAGAAGTGCACAAGTTGTTTGGATTCTTTTGAACTGCAAGCGAAGATTATTGTTTCAAGCAAAATCTACGATGTTTTATTTGGAATAAGGATGGCACTTTTACTTATTTTGATGTAAAAACGCGAATTACTTTTAAGCGTAAATTACATTACATAACTTATTTAAAAATATATAATTTACTTACATTTAAAAGTAATTCGTTTTTTTTATTTTACATAAATTATATAACATGTAAAACTTAATTACTAAAGATAAGTTTTTTAAACGAGTAACTGTTACTTGAAAAAGTAATTTACTTTTACAAGTAAAAGTTATTTACATTTTTACTATTACTTGTAAACTTACTTTTAATGGTAAGTCGTGTAAATTAAATTACTTTGAAAAGTAATAATTTGGTTATAACCATGTAAAAAATTTACATCGAATTTACGTTTTAATAAAAAAAAAAAATTGCTTATGAAGTAAACTTACGTAAATATAATATTTAAAAAACATAACACTTACTTTTTAAAGTAAAATAAAACTACATCAAACAGCAAATTACTTTTACGTGTAAAAGTAACTAATTAGCAAAAACAGCTTACAGCTAAAAGTAATTTGAAACAGCTAAAAGTAGTTTGAAAACAGCTAAAAGTAATTTGAAAAAAATTGGTAATTACAATTACAAATAAAAAGAAAATTTTGCCTTTGAAATTTTACACTTTATTTTGTAAGTAA